AAACTTAAAGCAACATGCAAAACAGGAAATCAAATACAATCATTCGATGAAGAGCTATTAAAGTATTCAATGAGCACTCAGAAACACAAGAAGTAGAGAAAAAATCTCAAGGAAGTAGAAAGAACAATTTGATTGCTTACATGTAGATATATATGGAAATACAACAATACACAAATCAAATTTCCTTATTTTCAATATTATTTCAACATCTTTTCGTTACATGCATCGGTTCGCTTTATTTTTAAATCACAAGGAAACTTTTTCCCTTGAAAAAATAAAAAAAAAAGTCTTCTCTTAATTCTTGTCAACATCGACTTGATTGTGCTTCGTTTATTTACTCTTTTTATTTAGTGTAAAAAATATATTTATGGGAAATTCAAAGAAGCTTAGGCATTGGAAATAAATTTATAGAATCATGAATGACTTTAGATAAAGCTAGAAATGGAGGAAAAAAAAAAGTTGTAAAATTTGTTGTAGCATGACATCTTTTTTGATTTTGGTTGCCTTGAAAATTCTGACAATTTTTTATTAAAGCTTTGAGCGATTTGTTTTTGTAGAACCTTTTTTTTTCAGAAAAAGGATTAAAAATGTTTTTCATGTATTCATGGTATTTAATTTTAAAGCAGTATTTTTTTTAGAATTTGCTGAATGTGTGCTGCATGAAAAAATATATTTTCATGCGTGATTAAATCATTTAATGATAAAATAAATCAATAAGTAATAAATCAAAAAATAAAAGAAAAACGAAATCTTGACAAATCCAGTTTCTGAAAGAAGCGGAATAATTTCATTTTTCCCGATTTCCTGTACGTCTTGTGATATAGAAAAAGCAAATAGGGAAAATATAAAAATTCAAAAGATACATGTATAGACAACCAGAATGACCATCATTAGCCGAACTCTATTGATAAGGATAAAAAATTTTTTGTCAACTATAAAAAAAATCTGTTGAATTATTTTTTGTCATATAATTATCAATCAAATCCAATTATTTTATATCCAGTAATTTAGTTCAAAAGATAATGATTTTACACATTGGATATAAATATTGAGGTTTTTTTCTGTAAATGTCTAATAAGGTTAAGAAATTTTGGCTTTTCAATTTTTCTCTATTTCGTTTTTCTTCATTTTAAAAATATAAAAAACACTTATTTGTTTAAATATGTTTATCAATTTTATAAATATCACGAAAGTTAAATGTTTTTTTTTGATAAATATGGTCCTTAACTCAGAATATTTACAATCCCTGTCGTTACATTAGAGACATTTTTTATTTACTCCAAATAGATAAAGTTTAGGACAGTAAAAAACAAAAAGAAAAACTTCATGCAACAAATGACAAGGCAAAGTGAAGGTAAAGCAAAGAAATTATAAACTTAATGACCCTTGAAAGGTGAAGTTTCAATATTTGCGAATTCTCGAATGAATACACATGATTTTTTACGTATAATATAAATCTTATGCCTCCATCGAGATCATTCTCAATCTAAGAAAATTTCTTTCAATATTTTTTGTTTACCTACTTTTTTTTCCTTTTGCCTCACTTTATTTAAAAGTAAGTAGAACGAAATTTACTTTTCTCAGGTGAGTTGTCGCTCGACAACCTTTTTCTTCTTCTTTTATTTAAAAATCTCATATACAAACTGTAGTGAAGTACTTTTTAGCCTTGTTAAGTGGAGACACATGAAATACCGAGAAACGTTTAAGTGTTTCGAAGGGAAGTGATGGGATTTAGGAGAAAGTCAATAAATGTTAGAAATCCTTTAAGAATACTAAATGTTTTCTCTGAAAATTTACATAATTTTGAATTGAAAATTATGCCTTTAACACTTTTAAAACTTATTGCAAATTATTTTTTTTAAGATATTAAACATAAATTTGTCTACTGAATAAAAATGTAATAAACAAGAATTAATGCATGGAAAAAGGATTTTAAATCCATTACTGGGCAAAAATAAGTGACATAAAAAACAATTCAATTTGACTTTCGTGAAAAAAGAGGGTGTCGTCATGATTTCTTATTCATTAGAAAACATGTCAATTAAAATTAAAATTGGTAGGACGAAAAAAAAGGAAAGCTAAAATATTTCAATCCATCAATTTGCTCATATGGTTCCCTCAAAATTGTTACTTTATTAAAAAAATCTTTACGTTTTTGACATAATGAAAGCAAACGTAGTCGAGTACTTGAGTAATGAGGCATGTTGATGATATTAATCTTAAAGTGTTCCTCCATATGCACCACAAACTTTTTCTTGTGATAAATTCCCAATGCGTCTTAAATTTTTCAAATTTACCACCTGTTACAAAGCTTGTTCTTCCTTCCATTTTCATGCCTCATCTTATAAATTTTTCCCTTTTTCAGGACCCTTAATATGAGCGAATTGTGTATCATATTACGATACGCATGAAAATTTATGAAGCTTCTAAATAAAAATAAAATAAAGAACAAATTTTAGAAAAAAAAGTGTGAATGCTGTTGTACTAGACGTCTACAGAGTCAGGAATGAAAGTCACAAGCATTTTGCAGCTTTTAAATTTTATGAGCTTAGCTTTTAAACGTACTGAGAGTAAAATCCATCCCTGTCTTTATTCTGAATTTTTGTATTTCTTCACATGGCAGCACAACAACAATTTTCAACATTCATAAAATATAAACGTAATTTTCATTCCTTATTTTCAGTGATTTATCATAAACATTTGCATGCGTGAACAATTTTTTACGACGAAAAATTCATGTCTGAAACTTAATGTGGCAGTTAAGTTGAGATAAATAGAGTCAAAGAGCTAAATGTAAATTATTAAGAGTGGTTTTGGTATAAATTACTTAAGTAGAGTTATATGTGTAAAATTCTTCGATTTATAAATATTTCCTTAAAGATACTTCATGAATGTGAAGTTTTAGAGAAAAACCACACGTACGCACTCAAGCACACGTTTCAAGAATTAAGATTGGTTGCGGAGAAATTTTGGCAATTAAGGAATTCGGTGCTATTAATAGTTGTCAGAAGATTAAGATATGAAAATGTGTGAATAGAAAACACACAATTAAGGATGAAAGGATGAAAGGTTAATCTTATATATTTGTTTCCTTATGATAACTATTTTACAGATATTATAACTTCAGAAGATTTATTTTTCTTGACATTTTAATATAGTTATTACTTATTAATGGGAGGATGTCATTGCTGGGACAGAAACACAAGTTTGTTACACCGCCTTGGATGGAATCCGCAAGGGAAGAGACGCCCAGGAGCTCCAAAAGCTACTTGGCACAGAACAGTGATGAAGGAATGTCAGCTTAATGTGAGGACAGAGAATCTGTGAATTTTAATAATAAGTCTCTAAAGTTTAAATTTTCAGTATTTAGTTATAATTTAAAAGAAATTAGATGGTAACGTTGTATATAACAAATAATGATAGAACAGCTTTAAAAAGAAAAAAAACTGGGCGTTTTTAATTATTTTAATTACTTCATTTTTGAAGTCTTTCTCAGTTAAATTTTTAAGCGTCTTGCTTAATATTTATTTTGTATTCATGATTAAACAAATTTTCATGATAACGATCTAAAAAGATTTTCATTTTTATCGTCTTCATCACTCCAACACGTTTTTCTCCATATTCATATTTAAAAACTTATATGATTTTTTTTGTCAGAAAATTTTCTTTTCGAATTATCCGCCTTAATGGATCAAATTGTTATAGCTGGTTTTACATCAAAATACGCGTCATGTCATTTAAGATGAAAGAAAAAGCATCAACAAATGAAAATAAAGAAATATATTCTTATTCTTTGATTGTTTCATGATATGAAAAATTATTTTTATTTTTTAACAAAAAAAGCGTATTTCCTTTTATACCACAAAAAAGGAAATATATGAAGAATGAATATAATGCGAATCATCGTTTTGTCTCATCATTTGACATGAGAGAAGTGTAAAGAGTATGGAAACGAATGAAATCATCACCACCCAACACATGTCAAAACATAAAAGTCAAAGAAAGCACGAAAAATAAGACAAATGAATGCTGTGCTTTCATTACTTCTCGGAAGAGCTTTCCTTTTGTACTAAGAAATGTATGACTTTTACTTTATGCTTGCAAATTTGGAATGAATATTAAAGACATTCATGTTAGTCTAATGATAAATTTAATAAACATAAAATCACCCTTGAGCGTTAATTAGCAATTTCTTGGTCTCTCGAGAATTGTTCAATTCAATGATTAATGTTTATGAAAATAGAAGAATACTTAGATTTATTATTTCAAGCACCTTGAATTGGAACAAATCTTAACCTTTATATAAATAAAATACTAAAAATACCTAAGATTCCATAATATGAAATATCAGCCGTCCTTGAGTTTTCGCAAAATTTAATAGCACCTATAAATAAAATAAAAGGCATATCAATAAACAAATTCAGCCACTCTATAATTTTTTTTTCACAGAGATTTTTTTCATCCATCCTTAAACAACAAAACACATTCTTTAACCCTTTTTCATTAAATTTATTTATTGCGATCCTTTATTCAAATTATTTTCTATACAAATTTTTCTTTAACTCACTTAAGCGAGTAATAATAAAAGGATTGAGGGAAGAAGTGTAAGAAAGAAAGGAATTCAGAGATATGAAATACAATAAAGATAAATCAAATGAATTGTAAAAGAGATTTTTTTTTTAAAAAAGATAAGATTAGGATAAATAAAGACTTTCATTATAATACATTGTTATGTCTTTCTAATGCTTATCATGTATATTTTATTGCACATTCTTTTCGTATGTGTATATAATTAATTAAGCATATCATAAAAATACCGTAAATGTTTACATTTGTATACAAGTGATTTGAATTTAAATAAATAAAAACATATTAAATTAGCAACTTTAATTGTCAAGTGTTAAGCTCCGACATTAAAATAATTTGAAATTTTTTAATATTTAAACAAAATTTTCTAAATGATTTAACAGTGACAATTGAATTTCAGAAAATATATAGCACCAAAACAATATATTTCATTATAATATGCGAAAACTATAGCAAAATAAATATTAAATATTTATCAGTTCTCAAACATTTAGTTTACTGTGGCATCTGCAGGAAAATTTAAAATATGTTGCCAATTGATCACCATAAAATATAGAGACTGCTACTGAATATGATGGAAGCATTTATGCATATACTAAGCAAAAAGCTTCAATAAAAAATTGGTATGTAAAATATAATTTAAAATTAGAACCTTTTTAATATAATCCCGATATCAAATCTGTAACCTTAGGACCGTTATGCGTTTGCATCCTCAAATGCTGTTGATGCTGATGATCAAAAAAGAGTGCAGGATTAACGTTTGTGTTTTTAAATTTAAAATTATTAAAAGTTACATTTTGTGGTGATGAAAATTTATCGAGAGCCGGCAGGAAAATTTGTCTTGGTTTAATTTGTTGGTGATAGGCTTTCTGCTGATCATGATTTATTGTTGTTGTTGATGTCATTACCACATCAATCATTGAATTGACACTATAGTTTTTTGTTGAGCGTTGTTTTTCTAAAGCAGCCATAATATCAGGTTTTGATGAGAACTTTGTAGCCGGTGTCATTGGGTTCATATCCGACATAAAAAATACCCCATTGAATTGTTGAGGTGGAAACATGTCACGCTCTAACGAGTGTGCACGGTTATTTATGTGATGATATGATTGCTGTTCTTTTTCTCGTGCATCCATTATGACATTCAAGAGATGTCGATTATTATCGTCAGTTCCTTTTTGTCTATTATTGCCATTGTAAGATATTGTACTGACAATATCTGGATGATTTTTCTGATTGTTGTCAAGTTCATACTCATTTTCATAGATAAGTGATTCTTCATTTTTATGCTGTTCCTCATGATTATTGAGAGGTTGTTGTACATTTTGTATGTAGTAATCGTAATCTGATCCTTCAACATCATGCTGCGGTCCCAGTATATGAATCAATGACTTATTTGCTTTCTTTGATGGCGGTTGTGGCAATAAATTACTAGGAATTATCATACTGTCATGTTCATTTGAAACTCCCGATGTCACTAGTACATCCTCAGATCGTGACTTCATCAACGGTTTATGCATACCATTCTCTTTAATTTCACGTTCCGCATCATTCACGATGTTTGTCAGTTCCTCAATTACATCGTCGATTGTTGTATTTGATTCATCATAGTCATCATTCTTTATTTTGTTTGCTTTATATTCCATAGGCACAGGGCTTGATGATTGTCCTGTTTCACTAGAACTGATACCTTCATCTTCATTTTCTGTTGTTGAAGGATGTGATTTTTGACCATTGACAAGTGTCTGTCGTGGAAGTGCTACAGGCTTTTCGAGTGTCGACGTTGTAGAATTATTCTTCTTTAACTGCATCAATTCTCGTTGTAAATCCGCACATTTTTCTTGTAATCGTCTTTCAATAGATGTAAAAACATTTTTCTCTTCTTGTAACATCTCTACTTTTCTCTCAAGAATGACCATTTTGCTGCGACATTGTTCAGCAGTACGGACTTGTTTTTGAAGAATCTCAACATCAATTTTTATTGATTCAAAATGTTTAATCTCATCTAAAAGCTTTTGCAGCCATGGCGATGTCGAGGAAATAAGTCTTGACATTTGAGGTGGATCAAGACCTGCCTGATATAATTCTGCCTGCAGGTAAAGTCTTGTCTGTATTGAATCTGAACTTTCTATAAATGTATTAATAAACTTCATTCCAACATATTGCAATTCTCCACTTCCACCTCCACTATTCAAAATTCCAATTAAAAGACGAAATCTTACTGGTTCTGCGCATCGGAGTCTTAATGTTGTCAGTGATTCAGATACTGCCTGATGTCCATAGTATGATGCATTCGGAACATGATCACCGAGAATATTAGGATCACATGCCGTTGTAAGTAATTGAAGGGCGAGTATTCTTGCACGAATTCCTGTGTTTGTAGCTGAACAAGCTAGGGGTAATAAACCGACTGGTGTATTGCCAAGACGTATCGAAGCGTCAGTCGTGCGAGAACAACATATGCTTAAACACTGCCTGAAATTCACAGGAAAATAGGAAAAATAAATTAGAATGACTTCTCTTCATTTCTCGTCCTTTTTAATTAACATCATCATCATCATCACACTTTTAGCATCCTATCATTTTCAAGCTATGTCAACAGAAAGTGTTGATAGTTATTTGTAAATTGAATGAAAAACTTCAATTGCATTGACGTCAACTAAGATGTAGGATAGAAAAATCCATGGGGTAATTTTTAAATTGACGTCAAGGGCATGCACTCGTTGCTGCCATTTATGTATTTTTTATTGCTTTTTAATAGACACATTCCAAGTACGCACACCTTTGATATTCTAAAGATATTTAAAGTGACATAAATTAACTCAAAAATCACAGAATCAATCAAGAGATTTTCACACAGCGTCTCTCAATATATGAGAAATTCTCCTCCTGTGACACGTGAAAGTAAACGACATGACATCAAAATATGAATATGATGAACGGATATTATGAAATATGAAGTTCTATTATTATACTTACAAGCATGTAAGTTCATCCAACAGTGCTCTGCGCTGATATGATTGATTATTTCGCATATCCATATTTTGTGAATTTAGAGTACTACTTCCGGTAATTGTATTTTGGCTCAGTTGAATACCACGTAAGACTTCAAGCAGTAAAGTTGCACCATCCATTGGATTTGCGACGAATTCTTGAACGAAGCTGATAATATTTTGCATAGAGCATCATCGTGTTTGTATAGCATAAAAGTATAGAAATATTTATAGATTAGAAAAATAATTTTAAAAAAAAAGATAAAAAAAAGGAGAGAAATCAATTTTAAAATCTGAAAAAAAATATTAATTATATTGATGTATAGAAAATCAATCTAAAATGACATCAAATTTTTAAGCTTAAATTACAAGCTGACGCAAAAACAGGAATGGAAAATAAGTTATAAATTGAAAAGACTGATACATGTGACATTGGAAATGCATCATGAAAAACCATGACAACTTATTCTGAATAAGGAAACTACACTCAAAATTTAATCGGAAGCAAATAAAAAAAATCTCATTTCAAGCAATCATGATTTAATAACTTTAAAAGATGAACGAGTCGAGTTTAATTTTCTATATTAAATATAGAGCGGGAATCGGCGAAAGATGATGGAAAGACATTACATTACAGAGAATAAAGTAACGATGTAGCGGTGTATGAAGCTAACAGTTATTAAATTATTGATTCAAATTTTTCAATTTTCCATAAAGAATATTAAATTATAGACACGATGGTGCATTAATGGAAAGCCAGCATTAAAAATTTATTTTTTTCTTATCTACCAGCTGTTGCGAATTGTGAGTATAAATGGTGGAGATAGAATGTATCATATGGATGTCTTCATTTTATTGAAATAAAATTTATCGATGAAAACAAAAAAATGTTAATTTTGATAAGTAAAAGTCAATTTGCAGAGATATAAAATTAAGATATAAAATGAGATTAAAAGAAATAAAGTTTTTTAATTAATAGATGGATTTGCTTTACATTCAAATCTGGTATTGATCTTTAAAAATCATATCTAAAATGAAGCTGTTTATAAAAATGATAACAGCAGTGGTTGCTGTTGATGTACACAAATGCTAGTGTGTGCTTAAAAAATTGATTTCAAAATGTCGCAAAAAAAATATATATTCAACAAGTTAAGTCAATCGTTTATTTATTGACTCTCTTCATTTCACTTTCAAACACGGGTACGGGTGTGATTAAATTGCATGCAATAAAATATACTTGCTGATATTCGATTGAAATTTATGTTGTTTCGGGTTGTGTGCATATGTCAATGAAATATTGTCGCATATTTGATTTCATCAAAAAAAATTATTTAAAGCTAATTTTGTTGAAATTTTTAGAATACTACAAGTTAAAATGAATGCTTTTTGAAATCTACCAAAATGTTGGCTTAACAAAATGGACAGCAAAAATTATGTGAAATACAGTAAAATGACTAAATAATCGGCAATCCATAAATGTTCAAACACTTTCATCAATAATTTTTGATGTCCATTGTTCTTAATTCAAAATACTAGAAAATTTAATTTGGTATGGTGTCAATCATCAATTTACAATAGCAAGCCATTAAGTCAGATAATCATTGATGAATAGCCGATTATTATGTGATAACCATAAAAGAGAAATATGTGAATTTAATTTATGGAAAGAAAAAATAAAATAGCTTTATTATGGTTATGCGAAACTGTGGTTTTATCAGGTCTTATGATCTTTTGGACAAATTAACAAATTATGGAATTTTTGTTTATTTTTGAAAAAGACTTTAAGTTAAATATTATTTCTATATAAACTCAAAATAATGCTCAATAAATTCAAAGTAAACGGGGAACAACAGACTACTTAAATAAGTTGCCTACATAATTTTAGACTTAATAAAGTCGAGAGTCAGACAAATGAACTTTCATATGACTCCATTCACTCCATTAAAAGAGTAACGTCCTGATGATTTCTTAATTTTCTTTGGAAGTAACAAATTAACAAATTTAAAATGGTTTAAAGTCATTTGCTTAATTTCACTCATTATGTTGCACAACTTTTATCATCGTTTTCTTTCCGTTCATATTTTTATAGAAATATTTGCCAGTATTTTAAATAAAACATTTTTCGTCTTATTTCAGTTGGTAGTAAAATTGCTTGTTATTGTTAAAGTAATTTTTGACGAATTTTAAAGTTGTTATGAAACCCACATAATCAAAATTTCAATACGAAATGAATTAAACAAAAAGAAGAAAGCTTTTTTCAATTACAGTAGTTACAAGATTTGACAACTTTTATCAATCTAATGGATTTTACATAATAAGTAATGAAAAGGTGAAGTCATCAAACATCTGTGACTACAGATTAACCATTGTATCAAGACTTTAAGATTGAACCGTCAAAAGAAACAATTTTAATTTCAATTTTAAGCTTTTATTCAATAATTTCCACACGTATTCAGTAACTTGAACTGAATTTTACTTTATAAATTTAAGAATCAAAATTAGTTTGCAAAATTCAATAAAATCGTCTATCAATTGCACTCAAAATTCAAAGTTATTGAAACAATTTACAACCCACACAGCTAATGATAGGAGATTATTATCAGTTATCCATGTTGCATTGATACTTTAATCGTTAGCAATTAAACATAGCTTTTCATGATTGTGGCTATTCACAGCTTTGATAATAAATCCATGCGATTACCAAATCGATTATATTAATTATCAATAAATTTGTGGTTTATTAACATTAAGTGAACGAGTTTGTTGATTATCTAGGATTTGACTTTTTCAACCATGAAGCAAATGATGAGTAAACATGTAATACAAACAGCATTGACTTAATGATATAAATTGATAATGAAACAAAAAGTTTGGAAGATGAAGAATTCGAGGGAAATTTATTGAAATAATAATGATTTTTAATGGATTTCACCAGTAAATGACTAATGATTCTAATAACTTTATTTAATCACGGTTCGTAAAAAGCTTTACAATTCTGCTGTTAAAGTTTCAGCCTTAAACTTTTAAACAACAGCCACATCCTGTCAAATAAAGCTGTTTTTCGTCAAAAGGAATCACAAAAGAAGAATCTTTTTCGTCTTTAATTGCACACCAATGTTCGTTTCCAGTTTTACCGTTGTTATGTTTCTTATTTACAGCTTAAAAGGAAAATGAGGTAACAATGATAATAATTAAATGAGACAATTAGCAACTGAAAGTAAATAAGTAAAGTCTTGAAAATTTTATAAATATTGTTGCATCGTTTAGCTTTTTAAACATATAAGACTACTACAGAAATAGCATGTAGACTCTGTAATATATTGTGCTGCCGTTTAAAGAGAGGGTAAACGGAAGAGGGATATAAGCAAAAGTTGAATGGTTGCATTTTATTAATGTAAGTACCCGTAAGTACATAGAAAAGTCAGCAAAACTATAAGTTTCGTTATTCTTCAATGAGTTTCTTTTTGATATGGTTTTAAAGCTCATAATCCTTGAAAATGGAATAACAATAAATAATTGCTTATAATTAGGTAAAAAAAAACGTCCTCGATTAAATATTAACATTTCAAAGTATTTTAATTAATATTTATTGAAATAAAGCTGATACGAAAATGCTTAGTGATAACTTGAATAATCTTCATAATCGACGACAATTTTTATTCAATAAGGCAAACCCCCTTAAACAAACAATGAGATGAGATAATCAATAAATTATTTATCACAACCGAACTCAAGTATTGCTTTAATTCGTTCGAAAATTATTATGAAAACGCAAAGTGTCATGGGAAATAGAAGAAATAAAACTTTTCTTGTTATCGAACTTTTAGTAAAATTTTAAATTGAACTTGACATGACGATGAAATGTGTTTAAAATTTTCTATTGAAAAGTTTGGAGTTGAGTTGAAAATTTATGGAAGCAACTCATTGACATTCAATTACAGATTAAATTAAATTAAATAGAATTTTTGAAAAAATACAAAAGAAAGTTCAATTATGATATTAAAATTTATTAGTGGGAAATGCAAAAAAATGTTTTTCTAGAATTATGATTCTTTTTTGTATTTTTATCAAGTCAAAGCACCAACAGTTTGATTAGAAATTTAAGAAAAACTTCAAACTATCACACAATCGACTTAATAGCAAACTGATAATCTAAACGTTTCCCAAAGTACTCTTAATCTTTCTATTTAATCGCTGAATACTTTTCAGCATATACATCATCATAGAAAGTGAAAATAATTTACATTTTCATTTACCATTTCTTAAAAGCTTGTAATAATTGAATCAATTACGAATGTAAATTGGAATGCATTATTAGGATTTTACAGCATAAAAATTATGATGGAACTTGAACGAATCAAATGTTAAATGGCATGGTAAATTTTAACGGATGATACTTTATAAACAGAAATTACTTCATTAATTTCATCTACAAGCTCTTTGATGATTTTAGTGAAAGTAAATTAATCTACTGAAAACGAAGAAGAAAAAAGTTTTTTGACTCTCAATTATCGAAAAAGTAAATTACTTCATTAGTGATGCTGAATGTTAGAAAGGTCAGAATGGAAACATTAACGATTAGCGAAATAATCACGTCATATTAGTTTCCGGAATAAATTACCATTACGTGAATGCGTAAAATTTTGTCAAAAATAACGTGATAGAAAGTAGTTGATGTCTGCTTTATTAATTACATAATTATTTACTAAAAATTTACTGTGAAAACTTGTGCAATGTTATCATTTCTCATTTTGCATCCGAATTTCCCAATGTTTTGAATTATCACTTTTGAAATTATGGACAGTTAAAAAATTTGTAACCATACTTTAAAGGATAACAGTAAATATTTAATCACTACAGTATACTCTGATAATTAAATAATGGACTTTTATCGTTTCGGTCAATTTAAAATTAATTTCCAAATCCTGCTGACAGATTTTATTTGAATGTGAAAATATTGATGTTTGTCGAGTATCTATAAATGTGTATTTTAAGCATTGATTAAATCTCAAATTAAATTTATTGATGCTTAATTACATTTGAAAACGAATTATAAGCTTACATGTTTTAATAAATGATAATACTTTTGCAAATCCATCATTTAAAAATAATTTAATAAATTAAACTTTTGTGCTTTAAGTAATCCGTCACATTTATTTTATCGTAGAAGGTTTCAATAATGAAAAAGGTTATAATAATGAGTCATTAATCTTTCAAAAAATTATTTTAAATCACGTTTTTTTACTGCATTTGAAATATTTCAACAATTTTCTTTTCTTAGAAAACTTCCTATAAAACACAGCAACAAATATTGCTTCAAGATACAATAAATCACCGAGAAGTGCGTTTCGATTTTTTCAAACATCTCCAATTACAATTCATTCATCTTATATCCGACAATCATTATTTTTGTAAAATCACTATGTTGTTCTATAGATTTTTTATTGTTGCTATTTTGTTGGAAGTGAGTCAGCGGGGTCATTGGTCAATATGGACAAGACAAGCAAAATACAGCCAAAATTCATAATGAATAATGATTTAATACAACCTACCTCTGAAATGATTGCCTCAAATCTGCCCTCAATTTCGTCAAAAGTTCCGTGATCGATCCGAATTGCTTTAATGCCATTTCGGTATCAGCTGGCGCAACTGGGCTTCTGATTTTTGTTTGTTTATTTATTTTTGTATAGTTTACGATGAAAGCATAATTTTTATTTATTTTGTTGAAAAGAAATAAAAGAGAAAAGAGAAGGAGAATAAGAAGAAATAAGTTCAACAAATCATCATCAGAAAACAACTTTTCATTCCCAGTATTTTTTGGAATACAAATATGGTTTGTGAGAACCTTAAGATAATTTTGCGAGATTTGAATATTTTAATTGGTAGTTTAAAGATCTTAGTCAGAATATTCTATTGGAGTAGCTAATTAGCTTTTTTTTTTCATGTAAATACCTAAAAAAAATTAATTATAAATTATTTTGACTAGTTCATTTTACCAGCTGTTTAACTCTAATTAGCTAAGAATATTAGCTTTTTATTAGACAAATTCAAACTTTCTTGTTTGTTTAAATTTGTTTAAATATCAAATCGTACGAAATAATTACAAGAAATTTCTCAACATCAGAGGGAAATGAAAAAAAGCGATAACATAAAAATCGATATTTACGGAAATTATACTTACTTATAATCTGAAGTTTTGGACAACGGTAATGTACGAGATTTGTTATTGTGGCCATTTGTCGTATTTGATTTCAAATTTTTTGCATCATCAATTGTGTCATAGATTGATTTATTGCTATTGCTGTTACTGCTATTATTGCTACTCCCAAATTTACTAAACTTCTTTAATGCTAATATATAATCTTCTGGGAAAAAGACGGGCGGTCGTTGGTTCTCCTTCTGCTGTTGATTTGGCTGACACCATGGATCATTGCTTACACTTGTGGTCGTGATTGTTGCTGTTGTCATAGTTGAATGTTGATGTTCGGCCTGTGTAGCACTTGGTGCCATCTCATAGAAACAATAAGATAACTGGCTGTTGATGAAATATAGAAGAGAAATAGGACAGATATTGTAGTAAAATAAATGAATGAATATAGAATATACATCTTTCCAATTAAATGACTATTAGACATAGAATATGCTACGTTGCATGTCACAGAAATTGAATTACTGTCAACATGGACACGATTTATGTTACCATTTTTTTATTCTTTTTTTTGCATTTATATCAGAATTAGATATTCAATTCGTACGGGATTTACAACTTTGTAACCAAAATGAGTTTTAGAAACTATAACTGTCTTGGAGTATATCGAGTTTGAGCAAGTATGTTTGCAAACTATTTTTACTCGTAAAATTCTGAAAAAATTCCATTTGTTTTTAATGCATTTAAAGATGAATAAATAAGCTTTAGCTTTTTTTAAAGAAAAATAGTTCCCAAAATTAAGGTAATGAACATGATATATTTAAAAAAAATAGGTAATTGAAAATTACCTACATTTTATCAACAATTTTAAATTTGTGAAAATTTTATTAAAATTTCTCATCAGGTTTAAAACTAAGTTCGAAGAATATATATTTTTGATACAAATCTTGCTTTTAATATCTAAAAAGCTTTTGAAAATCAACTTGAATTATTTGTTATTACTTCTACATCAAATTTAATTAATTTCATCTTTATACCAAAATTTCCTAATTTGTCAAATATTTAATTTTTGCTCAATTTTATGCATCTCAATTTAAGTTAATAAAAAGTTCAGGATATTTCAAAATTATTCTCGAGGATTATTCTTAACAGACTTGCAAAAGGTGGGAGGGAGGGAGTTCAGAGGAAAAAAAAAGAATTTCGCCAAGAGAATCGTTTTATTAATTTTTTTAAAATTTTTCTTACATAACATTAGCTAGGCCCCTGATTCTTAAATAAACAATAAATTAAAATAACTTAAAGGGTAGTTTAAATAAAGAAATATAGCAAATGAATCAGGCTCTATTGTTTAAATGTTTGAATATCATGCTATGTTAAATATAATGATTTTTGTAAATCCAGGTTGTAAACGATGTAAAACATTGAATAAGTTGAACCAAATTAATATCACAATATTCTCTTCTAATCTGGAATTTTAATGCAAACAATCGCAAAAATGTTTTCGAAATTTACAAAACAAAAGTCTTATCATTTATTTTCATTGCTGTGTAAAAATGAACATGTTTGAGGAATTAAAATTCCCTCGTGCAGAAAGCGAGTAAAAGAAAAATAAGAGAGATCGTTAAAAACATTTTCTAAGTAATTCGACAAGTTGTCAGTAAAAAGGAAAAAAAATCTGTTTCACCCCTTTCTAACGAGAATAAGGAATGTGTCAATTCAATTTGATTAGTTCAAATTCTATAAAAGAAGGTATCTAAGATTATTTTCATTTTGATTCCAGCTGAGAAGCTACCAGGGATTGACACGATTTTATCTTGATGCATTTTTTTTCATCTCCATACAAAATTTGTGTGAAAAGATGAAGTTTTAATATGAAAAGATGAAATCGTGTCAACTCCTGGATGAGTTTGATGAAGGATATAATGAATCAAAAATAGCTAAAATAATAATGAACATTGAAAAAATTCTAAATGATAGACAGACTCTTCAGATTTTTGGCATGGATTCTCATTTTAATGAGTTTAACTTTTAATTATGTAAAATTAAATCCAAGAGCTTTAATCTTTATTCTCTCCAGGGATTCTCATTTAATTTTTTGATTTTTGAATTATAATGATGTAAGCATGACTGATCACTCATCATAAAATCATTGGCTGTATTCAACACCTTTGAACATTAAAAAAATTACACCAAAACCAATGCAACAAAGCACGTAATTAAAATATAATAAATTCTCATTAATTAATTACTTTTAATTGGCTTTTAAATTTTCATATGAAAATTTTTTCTTTACAACATAAAAGGAAATAAATCATAAAACATTTCCATCAACTTTAGCCCCTATGATTATTTAAAGGAAGTCTCATTATTTGCTGAAAATTAATATTTTATTACAGCGAGAAATGATTTTTTCTCCGCCTCCCGGGAAAATGTAATAAAGAAAAGAAAAAACCAAGCCTCAACGATAATGATGCTGATAATAAAAAAGCCATGACTCATGAGTTCAACAAATAAGCGAGAATAATGCAAACAAAACACAAAAGCATCGATAATGGCGAGAGGTTTGTAGAAAATGTAAAAGAGAATTTTTAAATGGTTTTTGTTTTCTCATGAGAATTGCTGCTATGGATTTTTTGACACGGGATGAGTAATAAATGGACATTTATTTTGATTCTATTACAGGTCCATTGAAATTAGTTTTCATAGCACCCAGATATTATTATCATTATTATTATTATTATTATTATATTTATCTTTTTAAAAGGAAAAGCCGTCTGAAAAAGTACTTAAACTATTTCAAACTGCATAAAAACCTTTAAGATAAATTTTTCAATATTTACATAAATTTTACAATTATTTCTTTTCAGTTGAAACATAGCTAGTGTGGATTAAATCTTTTCCACCCAGATATAAATGTTTACAAAAATTTAATATTACGATTTTCATGAGAATATTTTTTAAAAGTCAGGATAATTGAACAGTTTTAACGTTGGTGAACCACTGAAGTATATTTACATCAATGATGGTTTTTGTGTTATTATATGAATTACAAGTAAGGAATTATTCATTTATGATATCCACAAAATGATTAGTTTTTTTATTTCCTTCTATAAGTGTAATCAAAAAAAATCTTGATACGCTCTTAATGACCTCCAACCATTAACATAATAAATTTAGCATGCAAAAAATTAACAAAATGTTTCAACTTTTAATAGAATTTAATCCTGAAATTTCCAATTCAAAATTTGTAAAAACTTTTTTGTTTGAAATTTGTTTTAATAAGCAATTTTTTTTCCACGCTGATACCACATTTTTTATTCTCAGAAACTCAGTTATTTGCAAATAATGAAAAAAAGTTTAATATTGAAAAAATATGCAAGCAAAAATTTCAATGAGAAAACAAAAATGAAAATAGGAAGAGGAAAAAATATTTAAATTGAATTTTTCCGACTGTTGTAAATTGTAGTGCATTAGAAATGCTGTGCATTTTTTCCTCATTTCCTATGGGTTTTCATGATAAATATTTTATGTAATTTTTCACTTGCTTATTTACACTGTTAATTTGACACTGCTATTGTTGCTGTGTTGTGATTTACATTTAATTGGTAACATGTGTGATGAATAAAGGACAATCTATAATTTAGTGGAAACAATGCAATGGCAATTAAACTTCTGGTTTTGATAAAAAATCTCATTGTGATTGATTAAGCATCTTTCCATGCAATTGCTTAAAAATAAATTGCTGCTCAATTTGGGGCAGCTGTATTTTAAATGGAAATTTTGTCAGTAAAGGACCCCAAAGCTATTCATGAATTTTATATTGCAACCATAATTTTCTTTACAATGCAAAATAAATCATTCAAAAAAATATATATGAGCAACAAAAGGTATTATTAGAAAATCATCCGTAATGTGGGTGTGAATAACTTATACACCTACATCCTTAAAGTATGAAAAATTCTTAAGCTATCTTTCAAGTTGTGAAATCCAACAAAAAAATCGTACGTTTGCTTTTTGTTCACATTGGCTCATGAATTTTAAATCAATTCGAATTAATAATGAAGGAGCAAGACGAAACAGATTATCAATTTAATATTGAGTAAGTAAGTATCTAGATGGACAGAATAATAAATTAGTAGCACTTTTTAGATCAGTTTATAAGTTCTTGATGTTTTTCAATCTGGCAACAAAACGCCTATTTAAGCATCGATAACCGTTGAATGTTAAAGCATATATTAGAAGTGTACCAGAACCATACTTAAATTTTGTCACAAATTTTCTCTCTGACACCTTTTAAAAATGTTTTAAACAAAATGTTAATGGAATCTGTCGCACGATTGTCTCTTAATGCAAATTTCACTCAAGAGGAAAACAGAATGAAAGGTGGAAATTTTTCTCACGAAAGTTATTTTATTATTTAAGAGAAGTATAAGCACACATGGAAAATGTAAATTTAGTAGATTGAACTGTAAATGTCACAGAATTTTGGCAAACAGAAAATTTCCTATTTTCACTCAAAAACTGGAAGCTTTAAAAAGGAAGGAATCAGAAATATGTTTTTTAAAAAATTCTTTTCTCAATTTTTTTTTTCAGAATAGATGTCTATTTTTTATACCAAACACACCTGTTTGAGTTTGAAATATTTATTCATCAAGTTCTGGGACATGGAAAGCATTGGGTGTGAAAATGAGCTTCAAGTGAATAAACCGAATTAATAAAAACAGATTAAATTTGATTTTCTGTAATTTGATTCAATTTTAAAATTTTTTACCCCCTTTTTATGCTTTTGAATTGACACAAGATTTATTAGAATAAGCTTTACAATAACTCAAATTATTTATCAGTTTATTTATGTCAAATGCTGACAAGGGGAGAATGACTTTCTATAAAGTGAAAATTGGTGTAAAACGGTGTAAAATAATAAAATTTTACTATTACTTGAACTAGCATCACCCAGTTATGAAGCATTTTATTTTAAAGACAGTCGTTCTCCCCCTGAATGCTGATTGTTTTAAAAAATTTTTTCTTCCATTGAGCATGCATAAAATTAACTCTAATTCAATAAAACTTAAAAAAAAAAGTAAAACAAATTTGATAATTGAAGATAAAGTTTTTCAATATGTAAAATATTCAAATGTTAAAAGTTTTTCATACAATCATTGAGATAAAGTTTCCTATTTCATTCATAAGCTTTTTTAAATTCCGAAAAGCAAAATTGTCAATTACAGAGATGAAAAATGTTTTGTTTCCAATTCAATTTTCTTTCATATATTTTTTTTTCATTTTATCTGAAAGTTTGATTTTGCCTGATGGCAATAAGTTTGGATTTAATGACAAAAATTTGTTTGGATAACTGTGAATCGAATAAAATTATCGTGCGTAAATCA